GATCTCGGGCTGGCTTCTGCCCTTTCTGACGTGATGATACCCCAGGAGGTTCTGTGTATTAAGTGAAAGTATTTACAAACTAGATGCCACTGTGCAATATTATTTCAAACAGAAGTAGAACAAAGGCAGAATCAGAGTAATCCGGGAGGTAGGGAGGTTCTTTAACACGGAACCAGAAGGTTTTCATTTTGCAAGTTTGTGGGTATTATGAAAGCGGGGGGGGGGGGGGGGGGGGGGGGGGGGGGCGGGTGGTTGGAGGAGGAATCGAAGTATTACCTAATTCATCAATAGGATTATGGGGGGAAACCGCAGTGGAGGTCTGCTCCCACAGTGCAGAATTGCAGGTAAAAGGCTTTCTGGGAGGATTATGAAAATCTGTCTACTTATGTTGCAGGATCCAGTGGCAAACAAATTACTTGTACCCCTGTATGTGCAGTCGTATGTACAAAGTACTCGTACACTGCTTTTATGTAACGACTTCCTTTCACTCTGACGTTCTAATTTTCGAGGTATTCTCTCTGTTTCATGGAATTCCAGAAAGAGAAATGAATACATCATTATGAAGCTGCATTTGCCAAAACTTAGTGGCTTCAAAAAAACATGAGTTTACTAATAATCTTACAGCTCTGGAGGTCAGAAGTCCAAGGTGGTCTCACTGGGTTAAAATCAAGGCGTCAGCGGGACTGCTTTCCTTCTGGAGGCTCCAGGGGAGAATCTCTGTCCTTGCCTCTTCTAGCTTCTTGAGGCCATCTACATTCCTTGGCTCGTGGTCCCTTCCCTCTATCTCAAAGCCAGCAGCGGCAGGCCAAATCTCCCCCTGCTAACATCTCTTCACGCTCTCAATCTCCTGCCCCCCTCTTCCAAGTTAAGGACCCTTGTGATTACCCTGGACCCACCTGGAGAGTGCAGAGCTCCACCTGAAGGTAAGTTGATTAGCAACCTTAATTCCACCTCCAAATGTAATCCCTCCACTTTGCCACGTAACGTAACATAGTCCTAGGTTCCAGGGATTAGAACGGAGGGGCAGGGGAGGGGTCATTACTCTGCCTACCATATGGGCTATAATCTAGTTTTAAGTCAATAAGTATCAGACATATAATATGCCAGATACTTCACAAAACTGTTGCCCTCCTTAGCCCCCAGGCACTTGGCTTTGGAATGTGTGTGGTGGGGGGAGGTGAGCGAGGCCCCCTCTCGCTTAGGGCCAAGCAGGGGTATACTGATAAACTCAGCAACCTCCTCTAGCAAAGAGGAGGAGGGGGAGGTTGATTTGCAGCGTTTACTGATTTCCGTGGTGAAACGACTCCCAACAGGGAGGGTTTCAAGCTACCACAGTGAAGTCAACTAGTTTACAAAAATCCTGAAAACGTAACAATCCACTCTCACAGGTGGATTTGAGGAGGCTCTCATACACCAGGGGAAGAATACATAACATCAACCTAGTCTAGGACCGGGAATAAAAGTTTGACTAACATATCCTCGTGCCCTTTCCAAATTTCCCCCTCACCTATAGGGCTAACTCTTCCTGAACCCATTGACAAGACCGGATACTAAAGGGCTGGCTGCCTTTCACAACCTTCTGCTTATTAAAGATCAAAGAACACCCCCATGTGCTAGCAGAGAATAGTCTACTTGACCCTCACTCACACACAGGTGGTAAGCAATTAGAGGCCCAGGGTTGGGGGGGGAGGTGACCCCTCTTGGGAGAGGGGAAAACTGAAGGGCAACAGGGTTAAGACAAGAGGCCAAGCTAGGGGTTCTCGGGTGGCAACAGGCTGCTCAGCTTCTACTTGACTCGGAGTTCCTGGACAGTAGCCATTCGCCTGGGGAGGAGGGCGGTATTTTGCAGGCTGGTGTCCATATGTGTGTTTGCCGTGCATTTTAAAGAATAAATGCTCCATAAGCACAGCCATTATTGCTTCCCTTGGCCATTTTCACACTGGCAATGTGAAGTATGCCATTTCTAGATGGCTAATGTCCATTTTTCTTTTATCTGACACATGCTACTAAATAGGCTCACATTTACTACGAAAAGCCACAGATTTATGTACAATAAGAACAGCTAGGTCACGGTGGCAGCGCAGGGCAATTAACCAAAGAAATCAGGTCCGTAGAAGGACCAGGGGAGGCTGCTCCTTATCTTGTTATGTAGATTACATTAATGCTCCTCGATTTTATATGCACAAGAATAAACTGGGAAGCTTATTAAAATGCAGGTTCTGGTTCAAAGGTTTGGGGATCTCAAGATTCTGCATTTCTAACAAGTGATGCCCATGGGGCTGGTTCAAGGAACATCTTTTGAATGGGAAGGATCAACATATCAACTTTCTCTCCCCATCTCTCACTTTTGGGCAAAATTATACCAATAATCATTACAATTATCACATTAGAAAAGCAAATCCAATTAAGATTTCTGTAGTTAATGATTGTTATACACCTAGTGTTATAGTACATCTTGGAAAGAGGAAAATGCTGCTTTTACTCAGTGTTAAATAAGACCATTTCAGGGGCAGTTGGGTGGCTCAGTTGGGTAAGACTCTGATTCTTTTTTTAAGTTTATTTACGTATTGAGAGAGAGAGAGAGGGAGAACCAGCAGGGGAGGGGCAGAACGAGAGTTGGGGACATAAGTCTGACAGCAGAGAGCCTGATGCTGGGCTTGAACTCATCATGACCTGAGCCAAAGTCTGATGCTTAACCAACTGAGCCACCCAAGCATCTATCTAACTCTTGATCTCAGCTCAGGTCATGAATTCCCAGCTCCTGAGTTCAGGCCTCCCGTTGGGCTCTGTGCTGACAGTGTGGAGCCTGCTTAGGATTCTGTCTCTCCCTCTCTCTGCCCCCTTTCTCTCCCCCACCTCCCCCCCTCAAAATAAATAAATAAACAAGCTTAAAAAAAATGAAGACCATTTCGGCTACTAACATTTCTGAATAGTATACGTTATTTGATCCCATGAAGAAATGAGCTATAAATAACCCACAAGTCAGCTAATTATGGGTATTAAATGACAACTAATAAATGGCTTTTAGAATAAGAAGTTGCAACACAGTAGTTCTTCAGGATCTACAAGACTCTTAATTCAATTCCTGGTGATGATCTGACGATTTTCTTAGTTCCAACTGAAATGCAGAAGGACTATGTAAAGGGGCCATTGGGGCGCCTGGGTGGCGCAGTCGGTTAAGCGTCCAACTTCAGCCAGGTCACGATCTCGCGGTCCGTGAGTTCGAGCCCCGCGTCAGGCTCTGGGCTGATGGCTCGGAGCCTGGAGCCTGTTTCCGATTCTGTGTCTCCCTCTCTCTCTGCCCCTCCCCCGTTCATGCTCTGTCTCTCTCTGTCCCAAAAATAAATAAAAAACGTTGAAAAAAATAAAAAAAAAATTAAAAAAAAAAGGGGGGGCCATCTCCTCTACAATCACAAGACCAAAGTGTGAACTTCCCTTTGAAGAAAAATTGGGAGGGGGCAGTTGGATGAAAAAGAATGGGGAACAGAGAGGTAGAAAGACGAAATCATGTTTTTGAAGATTAAAAACAAATTAGTGTCACAAAAATCTTTTCAGTGAAGGTGTAATAGCTGATCAATTGGAAACAGACTGCCAAATCAAATTTTGCGAGCAAAGTTCCTATATTCTTTTGTCTTACACCTCCAGCATTTCATTACAGTTCCGCATGCAGAAGTCCAGTCTTATCTCTACCCTAGAGCCCACATCTCTGCACTTGACAGATGTTCCCGGAGCCGTGAGGGAAGAAGAGGAGGTGGGGCTTAGTGTAGAGGCATGGCAGAGAGCTGCCCGAGATCATACAACAAGATACCTTATAAAGAAAGACAGTCTGCTCACCAACCAGGTAAACAGCAGGTAAGGCTCATATACTCTCATGTGTTTTACGGGCCATCACCTTTTGGCTTCATTAACTGTGACTGGTAAAAATATCCATTGCTTGGTAACCAGGCTTAAATTTTGACCAACCCTCAATCTTGAAAAGAAAAAACGAAAGGGAAGGAGGGAGGGAGAAAGAGCTACACAGACAGACAGGCAGGAGGACAGCAAGAATAGGAAGTGTGTTTCCATGACTTATACTTGAGCAGGTGCCATACTTGGTGGTCAGTATCATGAGCCAACCCCTCACCCCCATACCTCCAATACTTAAAACCTACTACAGCTTAGGACCTTGTGGGAATGGGAGGAGGAAGAAGGGTGGGGGTAGAACAACACTACATTCTTCCTTCTTCTGTAGCAGAAAAGCATGTTTTAAGAGAGATTTTTTGCCAAGCTCCAGAAAGAGTTATCAAAACTAAACACATCACTGTGAGCTTTATCACGTCACTAATACTGAAATGCAAATGCACACTTTTTCTTGCACCGGTAAGAGAGGCATGTTCACCTATCTAACACTCACCCTGGAAAAGGCAGTGCACCGTGAATTGCTGGTGTTACTAACCGCTTTGCCTTCTGGTCAAATACACAGCCACTACTTGATCACTTGCCTGGGAGGTGAGATTGTGTGGTCACTAAGAACTCCAGCTCTGAGGGGCACCTGGGCGGCTCAGTCGGTTAAGCATCCAACTCGTGATTTCGGCTCAAGTCACGATGTCACAGTTCCCTGCGTTTGAGCTGTGCCTGTGCGTCGGGCTGTGCACCGAGAGCACAGAGCCTGCTTGGGATTCACCATCTCCCTCTCCCTCTGTCTCCCTCTCTCCTTCTCTCTCAAAAGAACTAAACAAACACAGGAAAAACAAAAAAACCAAAAACCTAGTGCTGAGGCCAGTCTGCCTGTATTTGAATCCTACTTCTCCTATCTACTGGCCGTGAGCCCTTGGGCAAGTTACCTACCCTCTCTGTGTCGGTTTCCTCATTTGTAAATGCAAGTAATAAGAATAATCTATACTCGTAAGGCTGTTTCGAGAATTGAACGAATTTGCATATGGGCGGTGTGCAGAAGACAGCCTGGCATACACAGGGAGCCTTCGGTCAGTGGTAGCTCACCATCCTTGCCACTATCTTACCTTCTGTCTCTGAACTGCCTTCATCTGTTGTATTCTGGCCTCTTCCACTTGCTTCTTGATTCTTACAGATTCTTCTCTTTTTAGCTAAATTGTATTGAAATTACAGAGGACAAAAAACAGTTACTATCTTTCAGTCTGAACCTCTGGAACACGAAATTATGATGAGAGACAAATTACAGTATTGTTTGTGTTCTACCTCGCCATGATGATAGGCTGGCATTTCCCACTACTAAGATCACAGAGAATTGTCAGGCTGCATCTCCTGTCCGTGACATTTCTCTCATGGTTCTTCCTTGGTCTCTGTCTCTCTGTCCTCCCACCCCACCCACCCAGGTTGGGGAGGAGAGACAGCAGATGATATTTCCTTATTATAAAACTCATATGCCTCATTATTTTTAAAAAGTCACTGGCATCTTCAATCTTTTCTGTACTACTTTTGTGCAAACCCATGTTCTTGGTGCAAAACCTTCAAAACGTGGCAGGGATTGAACTATAAAAAATAAATCCCTTTGTGAAGGGTCCTGCTGACTGATGTACGGCTTGGATAAGAAGTCTAGAGAGTCGTCTCTTCATTTCTTACTTCCTGACTTCTTTGATTTTGAGAGTTTCCTTTTGTAATTGGTTTCAAGGTTTTATGCTTTTGGTAAATGTATTATTTCATGGCGACTGAAAGTGCCAGTACTCAAATTCCTTGCCAAAACTGAACTAAAAGAGACGGATTCTGACCTTTTGTTGGTATTTCGATTGCATCAGTTGGAGTTGTTGTTTCTGCCTGACTTCAGCTTCCGATTGGCTTCCACCTACGGGGAAAAAAGTCACAAAGGTGAAACATGAATATTAAGCTGAAATGTCAGCCATCAGAGACTAATTAATACATGATAAGTCTACGCCAGGAGTTTCTTTAACATTTTCATGCCCCTGGAAATGAGGATATAAACAGTTTTATTTTCTTCTTTTTTTTTTTTTTTTAACGTTTATTTATTTTTGGGACAGAGAGAGACAGAGCATGAACGGGGGAGGGGCAGAGAGAGAGGGAGACACAGAATCGGAAACAGGCTCCAGGCTCCGAGCCATCAGCCCAGAGCCCGACGCGGGGCTCGAACTCACGGACCGCGAGATCGTGACCTGGCTGAAGTCGGACGCTTAACCGACTGCGCCACCCAGGCGCCCCATAAACAGTTTTCTTAACAAGACATTAGAGAGTGGGAATTTCTTAAAAGAGAAACATGCTCTGGACAGAGCATGGTACCATATGCCTAAAAGAAGAGGAGAATCCTACAAAGGTTTTCAGTCATGTGGGTAGTCACGTCTTCACTTAGACTGAATTTACACCTGAAGGTACATGCTAAATAGTGCCGGTCTTAAATACTCTACAACATTCCTCCTACTTGAGGATGGCCATTCCTTAGCCTACTCAGGCTGATGATGCTTTGCTTTGCTTGTCTTGTCTTCTCCTGACCCTACTGCCTCATTCTTTAGTAGCATAGTGTAGGAAATCCTCAGGGGTCTTGCCACCAGAAAATTACATAGTCTTTATAACCAGGTTTTTAAAACTACTAATATTTTAGTTAGTGACTGTCAATCCATACCCCTTAGTTTTCTTTCTTGAGGTATTCAAGAGAAAAATATGGAAGTGAGATTATTTGCCTATTCTCTCTTAAACCTAAAATAATTCAGGGACAGAAATCCTTGCAGCTTGCCAATCATCTAAGAATTGCTGTTTAGGGATTTCTTGGTGTTTATGCAAGCTTGGTATGTGTATTATAAAGATTCCTTTGAAATGATTCTCTGGTGCTTTGGTCACTAAAAGTGTCAGTTCTCTGAAAGATTCATTCGCACAGAAGATGCATTAAAACAATTTGCATTCACTGTAGTTTTTGTAATTGAACTGATAAACACACCACAGAGACATTTATTCTGAGTCCCAAAAGATATATAAGGCCTAGTTGGTTGTGGCCCTTCGGTCTCTGTTGTGGGGAACTGGGGAAAGGGAAAGAAACAGTGAGGAATATGGAAGCTATTATCTAATGTTACAGCCACTGTCAGTATCTCCTGGAGCCATTCCAATATTTTAAAGGATAGATGAATAGGGGAGGAGTGGAGAGTTAAAACAAATAAAGAAAGGGGCTCTTAGGTGGCTCACTTGAGATCCAGACTTGAGCTCAGGTCACGATCTCACAGTTTGTGAGTTCAAGCCCCACGTGGGGTTTGCTGCTGTTAGCACAAAGCCTGCTTCAGATCCTCTGCCCCCCACCTCTCTGCCCCTCCCCCACTCATGCTCTCATGCATGTGCTTGCTCTGTCTCTCTCTCAAAAATAAATAAAAACATTGAAAAAAAGAAATAATGAAAGTCAGATGTCTAAGAATGTGAAGGCTTTGTTCCAAACTCATCTCAAAGTTTCATATATTCTAGGATTTTCTTTTTTACCTCCTAGACGCTTGTGAAATACAATGGAATGATAGTGATAATACCATTACGTTCACCCATTAAATCATTTCCAAATTAGCTTATTTTTACCTTTGTCCTGGAAAAAAATACTTTCCTAAAACTATTGTGACAGTAAGTAACCCCTGACTCTAATGCATTTGTTGTTAACGAAATCTGTGGGAACCGTGTATCCAGTCTTTTCAGTTCCCAGCTGCTGCTGGAGAAAGGAAAAGCGAAGAAAGGATGTGAATGATTCCCATTAGGTGGCATCCCTGTTGAATGATTCAAACACCAGGCACAGGCAGCCCACACAATTCATCACACTGGCATGTGCTCTGGGGGCCCAAAGGTCTCTATCTGTAGAATGAAAACACAGGTGAAGTTCTCTTTATACCCACCACCGTGTCCCCAGCTCACTCTCATCTTCGTTTTAGAATTGAATCTCCATCTGGTTTTTTTTTTTTTCCCATTAGCATTCAATACTGCCAGGATTAATATGCTTGTGATAGCTTTTAGTCCCGTCCTGTCGAGTGCTATGACAAGGCATATGCAGCGTCCCAGGTACTTTCTTCAGAAGTGATCCTCTAAGAGACTCTAAATTATTCAGCAATTAAGCCATCACTTTACTCCCACATAACTGGGGCATCATACATTTGCTTCTCGCAGAAGATCCAAAACAGCATACCTTCATACCTAAGAGTTTCAAGTTTATTTATTTTTTTTTTTTTTTTATTTATTTTTGGGACAGAGAGAGACAGAGCATGAACGGGGGAGGGGCAGAGAGAGAGGGAGACACAGAATCGGAAACAGGCTCCAGGCTCTGAGCCATCAGCCCAGAGCCCGACGCGGGGCTCGAACTCACGGACCGCGAGATCGTGACCTGGCTGAAGTCGGACGCTTAACCGACTGCGCCACCCAGGCGCCCCAAGAGTTTCAAGTTTAAATGCATTGTATTCCAAGCAGCACAATGACCCCCAAACCAATAACGCACGTTCAAAGACAGATGCAGGCAAGGCGCTAACAGGATCCCTGGGTGGCCCTGTCTCCCCCGATCCAGGCACCTGGTTTACTGGCTTACCTAAGCGCCTTGGGACCAGGGTAACAGGCTTCGCTCGCTGTTGTTCTTTCCACTTCTCAAGATTTTCCAGCTCTTTCTCAGCAACTAAGCCAGGTGAGAAATGTCAAATCATCAATGATTAGAATGTGAAAACAGTTCCGTTGATAGCACAAGAAACAAGCATCAGAGGGCAATTAACTCCATGCAAGCATGAGTGCACAAAATAGCCAGGAAAGGAAGGCACCCTTTGGGGCAATGCTGCGCCCACCCCTGAGGCTCTCTCTCTCTCTCTCTCTCTCTCTCCAAGAGTATGAACTGAAAGTCCAAATTTGGAAAATCCTGACCTCTTACTAAAATAAAGGAGTTTTGTTTTTCCTCTCATTCTGGCATTTTTAAAAGCCTAGATCCAATTAGTTTTTTTAATTTTCTATAGAGAGTGTGTATAAAAGTAGAATATTCGTATGTCAGTAAGAACTCTTTGCACACAGTAAACAAAGCCCCAGAGAATTCTGATGCCCACAGCACTGTGTTTCAAACGTCGCCCAAGCTTACCGCAACTAGGGGTGAGGGCTCCAGCCCCTTGCACTCCATACCACCAGGCAGGACAGCCTCCTCTAGGTGGAGCAGCGCTCACTGCCCAAATAACACACTCTGCATGACAGCAGGGGGCGCCCGAGATACTAATTCTGTTCTTCAGTGCGTATCCAGATCTCCCCCACCTTAGACCCCATTGTTTCAAATGTCCATATGCAGTATTTTTAATTGGGGGGGGGGGGAACTTCTGAAACATACCCCAAATCCAGACCACACTAAGGCATAAATTCCTGGAAAGTATTTAAATCACAAGCTCGTAAAATGCCAGAACCTTTGGGACTCAGTTGGGTCGCTGGTTCAGTTGCTGGCAATACCCACAGTCTCTGCCGCATAGCTATGACCGTCATACTCTGCACTGATGCAGGTGTACCATCCAGGGTGCAACATGTCTGGTGGAGACTCAAGTCTCTAATTTAGACAACTGCTTCCCTGTTGTGCCTGTATGTCCATTCTTAGTCACAATATTAAATTTCCTATCAAGATCTAATAAAGGAGAGGGACACCTGGATGATTCAGTCAGTTAAGCGTCTGACTTCGGCTCAGGTCACGATCTCACGGCCTGTGGGTTTGCGCCCCGTGTTGGCCTCTTGTGCTGACTGCTCAGAGCCTGGATCCTGCTTCAGATTCTGTGTCTCCTTCTCTTTCTGTCCCTACACTACTCACACACACACACACACACACACACACACTCTCTCTCTCTCTCTCTCTCTCTCTCTCTCTCAAAAATAAACATTTAAAAAAAATTTTTTTAATTAAAAAAAAAAAATCTAATACACAAGAGCACAGAATGTCAGCGCTAGCCCCACAGCTTGAAGTGAACAGGCCTCATAACTTCTTTGTGAACTGGTTGAACTTGAGTTCTCCATCTACCTCTAAGTTATAATGCTGTAATTTAAATGGCAGCATTTATTTTACGGTACAACTTCAAATAGGCTATGCACCCACTAGGTACAAGGAGGGCAAACATGCGTAAAGTGTAGTCCCTGCCCTCAAAGAGGTTGTAATCTAGAACAAGGAAATGGACGCTCTCAAATAAAAACAGCTGAGGGCAGACTCTGATACTTACAAAATTATGGGAGCACAGAGGTTAAAGAAAAATTCCATTAAGAAGGGATGGGACAGGACAGATCAAGAAGGGGACAGATTATGTCATGATCTGTTTCATATATAACTCATCTGCTCTGCAAGTATTCATAGTCCTGTAAAAATATCTGCAGTCAACCCAATTTCATGGGAACTAGATAATTTATTGGCAATAGATGTGAAATTGTTTAAGTCCAACAGAAATCTGAGATTTGCCATTGTGCTATGAGTTCTGCTATTAACAGAGAGAAACTAATTTAGAAGGATTAACAATAGAATAATTTTTAAAGCTATAATTAAAGCTGCTGAAGTTAAAAAAAGAAAAAACTCTGTAAGATGTGGTGAGTCTATTCGTACCAGAAAATAAAACTATAAACCAAAGTAAATCAATCCTACTCTCTAAGATGAGAAGCATTCTGAATGTTAAATGAATAAATATACATACTCCTTTGTATCTGATTTCTTCGGTTTTCATTTGGTGTTATCAAGGTATATGCGCCTGTGCTGGAATAAAGAGGAAAAAACTCGATTATCATGAGAAACTAATACATATAACTTCCAGACACTCTTGCTGCTAATATGCTGTATTTGTGATCATCACCATCAAATAGGCACTGTGGAAGATAATCTTCTTAAGACCCAGCTCTGTTCTCTGGGAGGTTACAATCTAGTTGTCAAGTAAAGCGAGTACACATGGCCAAATATGGAAATATAAAGCAACGGATCAAGACCGACAAGTGACTGCTTCACAGTTCGCTCTAGTAAACTGTCTTTGTAGGGATCCACCGTTCCTCCAGGTGGCACTCAGGGGCAAGTCCCTTTGAGATGGCGTTAGCCGGGCATTCTCTTCCATCATGACCCACGTTGGGAGTACAGAAAACATTCATGCATTCTTGGGCCCTACAAACTGGAAATCCATGCCACTTGCAATGCAGCCACCCTCTCTTCATGAGCCATCTGAGTGGCCATGTGGCCACATCTTGTGCTTCCAGGCTCTGACTCTCCTAGGCATGGATCTACTAGGTCTCCTCTTCTCCTGGGGACACAGAGAGAACATAATCGGGAGCTCAGAGAAGCATCCTTGAAGCATTTTAATTCATGGGGTGCGGATCTGGGAAGATGGCATTTAACCGAATATACACAGCACTGAGATTCCAGGAGGCTGTTAAAATACTGTGAGCTTTTGAGGGCTGGAACTTGACTGATCTGTACCCACCCAGCCTCTGGCACAATGCCTGGCACAGGGTACCTGCTTGAGGACTGTGGGCTGAACTGAAATGAAATGATGCCACAGACCCAGTCTGTAAATCTGTTTGGCAGGGGGAGAGAGGCTCTTCTCTGAGATGATGGATGTGGCCCCACAAGAGCACCAATACCTCACAGAGCAACAGACTGCAGCATATGTGTGGGTACAATTTTAGGGGGAATGCTATGAATACACACAATCAGCTTGTAAGTGAAGGTTGTTTTTTTTAAAAACCCCAGCTACTCTTAGAATTCTCTCTCTTCAACACAGAATGTACAATTTCAAAGGACAAATTAGCAAAGATTGAACAGTAGAGGCCAAAAGTGCTGATTAACAGAAGTCATTTCTTCCTTATCTTGTTATTTTCCTAGCAGTGAGACTTCAGCCTGCTTCAAACTGGGCTTTAATTTTAGACTTGTAAATGGGAAGTGTACAATCACCTTTGCATGCAAATGGGGCTGCAAGATGCCCAATTACCTAACATATATCAGCAGACATTGCATTTGTAGCCTCACATGCATACAACGTTATGAATACAAAATGAGGAGGCTGCTACTGAAAATTAATCCCTTGTCCATTGCATATTCTTTGTTCACCCTAAGAAAGATTTTTCACTCCTCAATTCACAGGAGCTTGGGAGCTGCAATTCTGTGGGTAATGGCTACACACTTGAATATGATGCAATGGTGAGCCACTGTACAGAGCCTTAAAGGTGAAACGCAAGGTACTGGATTTAAATGCTCGCCGTGACATGATTGCACAATCCTTCAAGTCCAGCCACATCGTGGCACAGAGCTTCTCGCCATCCCAGGGATTTGACTCCACTCAACATCGTGGCACAGAGCTTCTCGCCATCCCAGGGATTTGACTCTACACTGATCAGCAGTTCTCAAACTTTAGCACGCATCGGAATCACCTGGAGGGTCAGTTAAAGCGCAGAGTTCCTGATTCAGTAGGTCTGGGGGCGGGGGTGAGGGGTGAGAACTGGCATTTTTAACAGTTCCCAGGTAATGTTGATGTTCTTTTTTTTTTTTTTTTTTAACATCCGTTTACTTTTGAGACAGAGAGAGACAGAGCACGAACGGGGGAGGGTCATAGAGAGAGGGAGACACAGAATCTGAAGCAGGTTCCAGGCTCTGAGCTGTCAGCACAGAGCCCGACGCGGGGCTCGAACTCACGGACCGCGAGATCATGACCTGGGCTGAAGTCGGACGCTTAACCGACTGAGCCACCCAGGTGCCCCAATGTTGATGGTCTTGATCTAGGGACCACACTATGAGAACCACTGCTGTAGATCAATCAAGTTATATTTGAACATTTAGACTGATGGGAATTTAGGGATTAAATCATTGATAAAGATATAGATACAGATACACACCGAAGGTCACAAGGTTAATTAAGCAATGGTACTCAGACTCAAATGCAGGACTTTTGTTTTAGATTAGGTGGGTGTTTGCAGCTAACCCTTCAGCTTGACACAGAGAGTAGAAGATACGATCGTCACTCATTTCCAGCCTCTTGATAGACTTCCAAAGTAACCTACTTTACTGAGCACCTATTTATGGACTCACATTAAGGGGTTTATGAAGAATGAAGGGAGATATGAAAAAGCAGACCAACCACTTTAATGGAGCTTATATTTTAGTTAGGAACAATTTCTGAAGCCTCTGGAGCATACCACAAGAATATCCAAACAAATGTCAAAGTAAGAGGACATTAAGTAGAAATTCAAGGTGGGGGACAGTCACAGAGGGATAGAAATGAGAAGTATAGCTAGCTAAGGTTTAAAAGACAGGGTCTGAAATGGCCAAAGAAGGGTTTCTTTGCTAGGGTTTTACCAAGAGCAGCTTCACAGAATTTTCCAAGTCCCATGGGCCTCCCTTATGCCCAAAATTTAAATTTCGTTAAAGATCTGGAAAGAAAAATCATTCTATAGGTAAAAGATCTTATTCCACAATATCTAATCTGAATATGTTCAAGTCTGATAACATCACAGTAGCATCTTTAGTTTTAGGAATAGAACTGCGGTCAATCTATTGCAATTTGTGTAGCCTACACGTACCCAGACATAGTGTGGGGCCATGAAAAGAGGGAAAGAATTATCCAACCCTAAATTCAAAGCCTTTTAACTTGAAAGCCTTTTAACATAACCCCAGGCTCAAGGAGGGGTCCCAGTAATAAATGTTTCATGTTAGAGAATTCCTTAGTAACCTTCTTAGTACCATTTTCTCGGCTGAAATTGCCAAATCTGAAACATAATATTCAGAAGAAAGCATGGCAAGTATTTGGGCTTCTAGTCCTCTGACTTGCTATGGAAAGAGGAGCCTACTTCTAAGGATCTGCTTTTTAGGTTTTTTATTATCATGTGGCAGAGAGTAATGCGTTGATAGATACAAATATCCGTCCCTTCTCTCCTCCCTTTTTCTTGACATGAATAACAAGTATAACTTATTCATGTTTTCAGCCAATTAATTTCCACCCACAGCAAGGGCCTCTGCTGTTTTAACCTGCATGTCTTCCCTCTCAACAGCCTGACTCTCAAAGATGCTGATCCAGACAAGCCCAGCCTGCCTATATTTAGTATTCTGGGCATTTCCCGATTAAGCAACATTCAAGCCACTGAAGTAAATGTATATCTTTGAAAATGAGTTTCCTTAATTACCTCATTGAAATTTAATGAAATCTCGCAATTTGTAAGATTATTTTCACTTTCCAACAGCACACATCCAGGAGACATACTGAGGGAGAACATATAAAGAAGAGCAGAAGACAAAGAGAAAATGTGTTCCTGCACCATACAAAAAAAAATAGAGAGAAGAAAAATATATTTAAGAAATGTTTTTCTTGCAAGGTCTCTCCTGAGCTACACAATTGCTTCTCTCGTGTCCATTCCTGCACAATTTTTATAACATCTCATCAATAAACGCCTTATGAAAATGTTATGCTGAAGTTATGAAAAATATCTTGGCTGGCTAAAAGTATTACATAAATATATCCCCTGGTGTGTACAAACTGCAGCAGATGTAATTTAAATTTCTAATTAGGAACAACACTGGTTTGACTGAAAAAGAAACATAGGAGCAAAAATTCAGAAACAGAAGATTAAGTAACAAACAGATCTTTTCAAGCAGTATAGGAGACATGTAAAGTCTACCATTCTTCAAAAAACTAGTTTGAGGTTTTCTTAGTTCAAGAAAACCTTAACCTTGCATGAACTTGAAAAAAAAAGATTTTTGGTTAATCAAAGGCACTGGATTTTTCTTGCTATGGCTTTCCATATTGGTTTTTGTTATATGACCTTCAATATAGGCATCTGAAGCTTACTGTTTTTAGCCAACATGTGTCAAAACTTGAAGCATTCAGGTTTCCAAAAGTTTAATAAGCAGACCATATTCCCAAGAAAAACAAAAAATAACAAGATCCGGCTGAGTAAATCATACTTAACCACTACACCTGTTACACCAACCCTGATCCAGCACTCCAAAACTCCAGTGAGGAAGGGCTCATGAATTCTTTGACCTCAAAATCTGCAGAGCCCAAAACATTGTCTACACATCCAAGAAGCTGATGTGAAGCAAATTAGTTCTTGAACTCACAGCTTCTGGTGGACAATTGAATAGATACCCAGAGGGCAGAACAGACACCCAGAGGGAAAAGATATGCAAGAGATCACAGGTCATCAGCACCTTTGTGCATAGAATAACTTTATGGAAAGTCGAAAAGGTATACACACACACACACACACACACACACACACACACACACACACACACACACCCTCCATCCCAGCATTCCTATGTAGGCTCGTGGTTTAGTGGGATATGGTAAATTTATGCAAATGAGAAAAAAGTGCTCCTTCTTTCAGGTAGAGGTAACCCTACACTAGGGTGCATGGTTTGGTATGTATTTCAGCTCCAAATTACTACCTTCGCCAGACAAGTTTGTGTAGTTACCAACCTGCACAACCATACAGGGTAGACCTGAAAGATGTCACATTTCATCACTTAAAACACATATACAGACATAAATGATAAGGGCTTTGAGAAAAGCAAGAAGGATTCACTCTAAAGATACAAAGAATATATATGAAACATAGTATTATTGAGACTCACCATCTTTAAGAGGCCAAAAACTAATGATGGGAGTGGAGATGGGGACCAACTGTTAGGTATACTTGCAAAATGTATGAAATTGAATTCATATTTTCAGAACATAGAGATGTTGGATCTGGGACTTGATTTGAGCCTACTTGCAAACT